ATGGTGGTGGAAACATTCTGCTTTGGGGGTGTTTTTCTGCTAAGAGGACAGGGCAACTGCACTGCATCAAAGGGACGATGGACGGGGCAATGTACTGTCAAATCTTGGGTGAGAACCTTCTTCCCTCAGCCAGGGCATTGAAAATGGGTTGTGGATGGGTGTCCCAGCATGACAATGACCCAAAACACATGGCCAAGGCAACAAAGGAGTGGCTCAAGAAGAAGCACATTAAGGTCCTGGAAGAAGTGGATCCTTCCTAAAATTTCAGGAAGTGATAATCATGACCCTTTTGTATCCAGAAGGTGCGGTGGCCTAAACCCCAAATTCAGATGCAGTGAGCCGGTTGCATGAGAGGCATTTTCCTGATTTACTCTCTGGTACTCCAGCGCAAAGGTCACCCCAGAGAAGGTGTTGTTTCTGTAGCAGACACAGAATAAGGCAAGACACCCATTTTTTTCTGCTCCTCCTGGCCTCTGCCTAAAAGACTACTTCCAGTTCTACCACGCACTAGTGGAGTATTAGTCTAGGGTACAGCACGGCACAGTCTAGGACACATAATTCACACACTAGGGTCTGTCGCATTTTGAGACCCTGAAATCAAAGGCTGCAAAGTTTATGGTTCTGATAAGTTATAAAAAAAAGTAAATAAAAATTTAAAAAGTAAAGCAAAAAAATTGTTGTTTTTACTAAATTAATGTTATTTTGTTACTGTGTGGTATTATTAACCATTGTTGTTTGCTTTGCAGGAATGCCAATCAGCTACAGCACTGATCTGTTTATTCTGACAGCAGCAGGGTGTTGCTCTCAGAATACATATGCCAGTCCCTGCAGCACTGCAGGAGGAAATTTCTCATTCACAGTTAAAAAAAAAAAAAAGAATGTATATGCCCACGTATGAGGTGCCTGGGGAGGTCAGTGGTTGGATCGCTCCAATGGTTCAGCACATTTTTTTTTCACTCTTTTTTTGTCACAGATTTCAGTTTAAAAATAAAGTTGTTTTATTGAGTTATTGTTATATCATTACTATGTGTTATTGTTAACTGTTGTTGTTTGCTTTGCAAGAACACCAATCAGCTGCAACACTGATCTGTTTATCTTGACAGCAGCAGGGTGTTGCTCACAGAATATATATGTCAGTGCCTGCAGCGCTGCAAGAAGAGATTTCTCATCCGCAATATGCCTAAGAATGAGGGGCTTGGGGTGGTTAGTGGGCAGATTGATTTTATGCTTCGACTTATATTTTTTCCACTTTTTTCTGGTAGAGATTCCTTCTTCCACATCGATTGATGTGAATGGTGGAATCTGGTAGGTCCTTTTTTTCATATGCCCAAACATTAGGAGCAAAACTTGTGGCAAACAAAAAAATCTTCCATGGGCTCAACATGCCTCTCATCAAATAGCTTGGGGTGTCTACTTTCTGATAAGTGGTCATTTGGAGAGGGGGTTTTGTGTTACCCTGGCATTTTAGGGCCTATGAAACTGTGATAGGTAGTCAGGAAGTGAAATGAGGAAATTACACCCTTTGAAAGCCTGAAGGTGGTCATTGGTTTTCAGGGCCCATATGCAGCTAGGCTTCCAAAAAGTCTCACACATGTGGTATCCCCCATACTCAGGAGAAGTAGAAGAATGGGCTTGTATGAGAAATATCTAATTAAAGTGACCAAAAAGGAAAACTTTTTTTTGTAATTTTTTAAAAACTTGTGACAAAAAATAAAATCATCCATGAGCTCAACACGCTTCTCAGCAAATTCCTTTAGGTGTCTACTTTCCAAAAAGGGGTCATTTTTGTTTTTATGTACTGCCCTGGCATTTTAGAACCTCAAGAAATGTGAGAGGTAGCCAGAAATTAAAAGCTGTGTAAATTCCAGTATATATACCATACTTTTTATATGCTATAGCTTTTACACAAACCAATTAACATACACTTATTGGGATTTTTTTTACCAAAGACACATAGCAGAATACATTTTGACCTAAATTTATGACGAAACTTGAGTTTATTGGACATTTTTTACAACAGAAAGTATAAAATGTTTTTTTTTTTTTTTTCCAAAAAAAATTCCCTTTTTTTAGCATTTATATAATAATAATAAAAAACAGAGGTGATTAAAATACCACTAAAAGATAGCTCTATTTGTGCGAAAAAAGACAAATTTCATTTAGGTACAGCGTTGTATGACCGAGCAGTTACCAGTTAAAGCAGTGCAGTGCCAAATAGCAAAAAATACTCTGGTCATGAAGGAGGTAAAACCTTCCAGAGCTCAAGTGGTTAAACACTCCCTCCTCAGGCCAGACTTGTGAATTGGTAGTGATTGGCTCTTCCTCCTGGACTGAGCATCCCTCACATACTGACATGTGAGCCCTAGCTGTGTGATGACATGGCTTCAGGGGGTGTTCATGACAGCCAGGGCCACAGGAAGTGGATTAGATGACGCAGGCCATCATTGAGCTCAGAAGCCAAGTTGTTCTGGACCTTGAAGCAGTAATCTGTTAGGGACTTCACCGAGAATAAGGTACAGTGGATATAAAAAGTCTACACACCCCTGTTAAAATGTCAGGTTTCTGTGATATAAAAAAAAGAGACAAAAATAAATCATTCCAGAACTTTTTACACCTTTAATGTGACCTATAAACTGTACAACTCAGTTGAACAACAAACTGAAATCTTTTAGGTGGAGGGAAGTAAGAATAAAAAATGAAAATAATATGGTTGCATAAGTGTGCACACCCTTAAACTAATACTTTGTTGAAGCACCTTTTGATTTTATTCCAGCAATCTGTCTTTTTGGGTATGAGTCTATCAGCATGGCACATCTTGACTTGGCAATATTTGCCCACTCCTCCTTGCAAAAACACTCCAATCTGTCAGGTTGCGAGGGCATCTCCTGTGCACAGTCCTCTTCAGATCACCCCACAGATTTTTGATCGGATTCAGGTCTGGGCTCTGGCTGGGCTATTCCAAAACTTTAATCTTCTTCTGGTGAAGCCATTCCTTTGTTGATTTGGATGTATGCTTTGGGTCGTTGTCATGCTGAACGATGAAGTCCCTCTTCATGTTCAGCTTTCTACTAGAAGCCTGAAGGTTTTGTGCCAATATTGACTGGTATTTGGAACGGTTCATAATTCCCTCTACCTTGACTAAGGCCCCAGTTCCAGCTGAAGAAAAACAGCCCCAAAGCATGATACTGCCACCACCATGCTTCACTGTGGGTATGGTGTTCTATTGGTTATGTGCAGTGTATTTTCATCCTTGGTTTCATCAGACCACAACACATTTTCCCACATGCTTTTGGGAGACTTCAGATGTGTTTTTGCAAAATTTAGCCAGGCTTGGATGTTTTTTCTTTGTAAGAAAAGGCTTTCGTCTTGCCACTCTACCTCATAGCCCAGACATATGAAGAATACGAGAGATTGTTGTCACATGTATCACACAGCCAGTACTTTCCAGATATTCCTGCAGCTCATTTAATGTTGCTGTAGGCCTCTTGGCAGCCTCTCACACCAGTTTTCTTCTTGTCTTTTCAGCAATTTTGTAGGAACGTCCAGTTCTTGGTTATGTCACTGCTGCACCATATTTGATGATGACTGTCTTCACTGTGTTCCATAGTATATCTAATGCCTTGATAATTCTTTTGCTCCCTTCTCCTGACTGACACCTTTTAACAATGAGATCCCTCTGATTCTTTGGAAGCTGTCTGTGGGCCATGGCTTTTGCTGTAGGATGTGACTAAGAAAATGTCAGGAAAGACCTACTAGAACAGCTGAACTTTATTTGGGGTTAATCAGAGACACTTTAAATGATGGCAGGTGTGTATTGACTCCTATTTAACATAATTTTGAATGTGATTGCTTCATTCTGAACACAGCTACATCCCCAGTTATAAGAGGGTGTGCACACTTCTGCAACCACATTTTTTTTAGTTTTTTATGTTTACCCCCCCCCCCCCCTAAAAGATTTCTGTTTGTTTTTCAATTGAGCTGTACAGTTTATAGGTCACATTAAAGGTGGAAAAAGATCTGAAATGATTTATTTTTGTCTCATTTTTTTTACATCACAGAAACCTGACATTTTAACAGGGGTGTGTAGACTTTTAATATCCATTGTAAGTATTACAGCAAGAACTGTTTTTTGTTTTTTTTCTCTCGTAAATTAAGGGTTCATTGACACTCATGCAGGGGCTCGTATAACATGAAGAGCTTGTTTATGTGTCCAGAGCGTCTTGTAGGCAGCCTGTGTTAGTCAATGAAGGTGGAAAGACAGTATATTCTCACTCGCACATCCTGGTTTGGCAGGCAGGAAGGGAAGGTTGCATGGCCCCAGATGCACACTGTTTGCATTCAGGGCCATGCTCCCATCCTTGCCAAACTGGGATGTGTGGGTGAGTCCAGAGAGAGACTGTGTCTCTATTTACTAACACAGGCCGCCTGTACACCGCTCTGCACATCCCATGTTGGAGGGATCAAACCTTTCACTCTCTATAGATGAAGTAAATAACGATTTGTAATGTCCACTCAGTTATGTTGAAGGAAATGAGTTATTAAGGTTTCCATTCTTGGGTGCAGAGCCTGCGTAATTACTTTCCCAGGACCCACAGTCGCCCAATGAGATGTGTAAAGTGCCTGTGTGCATATGGACATATGCTCTGAATGCACACTCTGTGTTTGGAGCAAATGCCTCTGCATTTGTGGGTGCAGGTCCAGGAAGAGTAATTATGCAGGCTCTGTGCTCTGTCCGGCTATGTGCTTGGAACCTAAAAGTAACATCTAGCAACATAAAACAGAATGACCTTGAGAAAAGGGCAACTCACACGGTTAAATGAATGTTGAAAAATGTAAGGCTGTGTTCCCATGCCAGGGGGAATAACATTGCTCCCTATATATTACAAGTAATATGGAAGAGGAAATCAGATGGAAGAAGAATGACAATGCTGTATGTCAGTGTACAGAGGGGGGAAATATGTATAGATTTATTGTTCCTGACTTTTGAATTTTGTTTGTAGAAAGGCCCCAAGAGTTTCTCATCTCTCAACTGGAAAAGCTCAAGCTTGCTAGGCTTGCAAACCTGGAATATCCCTGTCTATTTGATGAATCTAATGTGGAAGCAGTTTTTGGAATCCTGGACCCTGCTGGACAAGGTTACATAACAAGGACACAGTACACTGAAGGTAAGAAACAATTATTCTGTTTATGCCTAAACTCCACTTCTTTTATATAGTACTGTTTTATTATTTGGCTTTATTGTTTTACTGCCAGCAATCTCCTCTGTGCGCTAACCTGTTAATGATGGTGTTACATGTCCATGCAGGATGCGCACCTGTGTTTGTGGTGGGAGGACCGGCTGCTTATCACATGATCACTGGGATTAGCTAACACAATGATCACTAGCTGTAAACAAGGTTATAGCCTGTGTCATAAACTCCTCCAATGGCTGCTCTAAAGACACACTTGTGATTGCATTATACCTGACCCTGCTCACTTAAAGGCTAAGTTCATCTTTTACAAAAAATAATAAATCCCCTTTTTTTCGCAGGGTAAAAAATGTGCTTAAATTTTTTTTTTTTTAAACGGGAGCCTGCAAAATATTGCACCTGTAAGTAGCAGATCATGGGTACAGTTTCAGGCTCATGCACACTCTTTCTCCAGCTCTCAGCCCATACCTCTATACAAGCTGTCAGCTTGCAAGCTGGAGGGAGTGTAAATGGACTACGAGTGTGCTGATCAGCACACTTGCGACCCATTCAAATTACAAATCCGTCTGTCGCGGTGGCAGACAGGACATGTAGTTTACTCATTCACAGATTCCTGAAATGAATGACGTGCCTGTGTGAGCAGAGCCCCACACAGCTGCGCCATTTTCAAAATATAACCGCTGGTAAAGACAGAGGATTCCTTGCCCACTGTCACAGGAAAAGAGGGGATCAATAGATGCAGGGGGAGGTTGCTGAACATGTTACACCCTAGGTGCACACTGCTGCAGTACGATTTTGATCCAACTTTCAGTGCAATTATGTAGTGCTACTTGGGTGCAACTTTGATAAGGTTTGTATATTCTATGGGGCCAAAATCACACTGCAATTGCACCAAACTAGTACAGGAGCCTTTTCCAAAATCGTTCTGTGCTTAGTCGCACTGATGTGAACAAATACCACTGAAAACAGTGTGATTTCCCTTGTCATGCGATTTTGTGCAACTCAAATTGCATCTTAAATCGCACTAGTGTGAACTAGGTTTTAAAGTGATTGTAAACCCTCACCTTGTAAAACAACACATTCAGTTTAAAATAGAAATGAAAGGCAAAACATTTGTGTATAGATATAAAATTATTATATACACCTTTTTTCCCTTTATTTTTGTATAAGTGGTTATATACCCTCTGTTCTCAGCTGCATACCAGCAGGGGAGGAGGAACAGCAGCACACTGATATTCCCAGTGAAAGGCTGTGCAAGGGGGAGGCATGTCAGGAGAAGTCTGATCATTAGAGGAGAGCACTCTGAGTTCCCAGTACAGCTAAAGAACAGACCACAATGTCCTCTCATGCCTAGTGTGGTCGGTTTCTAATAGGAAAGCAGAGGGACTGGCAAGGAACACCAGGGATTTCACAGGAAATCAATACAAAAGAAGGAAGCAATACAAAGAGAAAAGGATACTTTTTCATAAGTACATGGTATAGCAGGCACTTATCAGGAATATCGAGTGTTAGATTCTTTAATACAGGATTAACGTGTTCAGAAAGGTCAATGTATCCTTTAATTATGTGTCTTTTTTGAAAGAACATTTTTAGTAATCTGTTTTTGAACCTTGTAAACTGTCACACTTGGCTGCCCAGGAATACAGACACACAGACCTGTAAATCTTTCAGAGACCTTGCAGAAGTAAATACAGCCAGATTTGCAACGTTGCTAATTTGCTTTATAAATGATCCTCATCTTTGCTAGAGGAGAAACATGTAAAAAAATAAAAAAGACTGTATAAAAATAAAGATAAAATAGCTAGATCAGGTTTAGAGGAGAGCACACGGAGTGAAAACCGGAGCGTGCAAAATATGGTGCAGCTCTGCATAGAAACCAGTCAGCTTCCAGGATTTTTTCGTTTTTTTTTTTGTCAAAGTTTAATTGAACTAGCTAAAGTTAAAGCTAATTGGCTGCCATGCACAAGCTGCACCAGATTCTGAGTGCTCCAGTTTCAGTAAATCTCCCCAAGGGTATCATATATATTGCTATATTCTGGTTTATAAGAATACATAGGACTATAATTCTGTATTCCTTATTTCTTTGTATTTGACATCTTAAATAATTCACACAAAATTAGTTTTATTAGGTGATAAGTAGGAGGTGGAGTGAGGCTTACCTAACATTAAAGCGGAAGCATAGGTGTAACTTTTATTGCATAGTTATAGTTGGTCCAGCCTGGACCAAAGTAAGTTATGCATATCACATACATTAGAGATTGTGGGGGAAGCTTCAATCACTGTAGTAGCCGCTACTACTACAGTGACAGCATCTTCCAGGTCCTGAGCAGTTGCCTTTAGTGCACTGTGATCAACACAAACAATGAAAAAAAGGAAAAAACAGCGCAAACATAGACCTTTACATGAAATCAATATTACAAAGTGCAAACATAAGTGAAAAATTGATCAGTGTGGTAAAGTCCATCAAAATAAACCAAAGTTCAAAAAATATTAGTGCAAAAAAAAAAAGAAAAAAGAAAAAAAAAAAAAAAATATTTTCAAATTCTTCTTCTAATATAGAGGAACTTCCACCTTCCACCCGTGAAAACCAATATCAAATGCACTCACCAGATAAAGGTGAAAAAAAACGCCTCTTAGGAATTTTATGGGATCCTACACCCTCTTTCGTATCCACTCTATAGGAATCCTCCTCTCCACCATAGGCTCCACCATCCGACCAGGGAGAAAAAAATCTCAGATAGTGTAATATTGTAAGACACCATTCATAAGTGAAATCAAGGATTAAGGTCACTCACATTCAATTCAATTTAAAAAGGCATATTTATTAGGATCAGCTTCTTCCAGATAAACAGTAGATGCAAGGCAACCTCCCACGGAATCTCACATCACAGCTCCAGGTTTCAGCAGAAGCTCTACAGAGACACCGCATATACAGATCCCAAAAGATGGCGCGCTGGAACGCACCGCTCAGCGTGCGCTCCACTCACCGGAAGTGACGTCAGACGTACGGAGTACAAACCGGAAATGCGTCAACGCGTTTCGCCCCTCCCATCGGGCGTTCTCAAGACGTTCATTTCCTGTCTGAAGCTCCCTTATATACCCAGCAGAGACCCACCCCTCCGTTTCAATTGGTCAAAACTCTTCCCCGGGATGATCAAACAAACCACTCCTCCTGTAACGTGACGTGAGAGTCCCTTACAGATGAGGTAAATGCCTATACAATTAGAAATTTTTACATGTTATTCCTGACACTATTAAATTATCTCCCAGAAGCGACATGTATATTACCACATGTCCCCAGTGGGAAAAACACGAACAAAGTATTAAACAATGCCTCACTATTAAAAACAACTTTCTTTAATATATGAGCAATGAATACTAAATAGTATAAAATGAAAATAAATATGAATGTAAAGAAAAAAAAAAATATAAGATGAAAATAAAAATAAAAATAAAAAAAAATAAAAATAAAAAAAATAAAAATAAAAATAAAAAAAATAAATAATAAATAATAAAAAATAAAAAAAATAAAAATAAAAAAAATAAATAAAAATAAAAATAAAAAAAAAATAAAAATAAAAATAAAAATAAAAATAAAAAAATAAAAATAAAAAAAAAAAAATAAAAAAAAAAAAAAATAAAAAAAAAAAAAAAAAATAAAAATTAAAAAAAAAAAAAAAAAAAAAAAAAAAAAAATAAAAAAAAAAATGAATGAAATAAAAAATAAAAATAAAAAAAATCAAAATAATATGTGAAATAAAATAAAAAAAAAAAAAAAAAAATATATAAAAAATAAATAAATAAAAAATAAAATAAAATTAAAAATAAAAATAAAAATAAACCAATAACAAAAATAATAAAAAAATTTAAAAAATGCAATAGCATTACAATGTGTAAAAAAAACTATTAATAAGACACCTGAGGAATTTTTAATGGAAATAGTCTATGCTCTTACCAATTAGACAAAAAACAATTAATGTCTATGTCCGAATTCAACCCTTTGGGGTACAAAGATCCTAATTGAAAGATCCATTTTGTTTCATTCTGCGAGATACTCTTGACCATATCTCCCCCCCTCCAATGGGAAACGATCCGATCAATCCCGCAGAATTTCAAACACGATGGATCCCTATTATGACACATTCTGAAATGATAGGAAAGACTGTGATGTTTATATCCTTTTTTAATATTTCTAATGTGTTCACCTAATCTCACCGACAATTTCCTAGACGTTCTACCTACGTATTGCAGATGACAAGAGCACTCCAACACATACGTAACAAAGGAACTATCACAAGTTATAAAATTATTTATTTTATAAGAGGAACCCGTAGAACAAGAATGAAACGAATCATATCTCCTCTTAGTATCTCCTCTCATATTTCTACATGCCATACACCTTTTACATTTATAAAACCCCACAGTATCCAAAAAAGTTGCCTTTTTCTTCGGAATATCTGGGATATTTTTTGCTAACTTCATTCTCAATGTGGGTGGTTTTCTGTAAATGAATGAAGGTTTCTCAGGTATTAAATCATGGAGAACATCATCCCTCTTCAGAATCGACCAGTGTTTTCTTATAATATTTTCAATAACCTTATGTTGATTAGAGTAACCCGTGATAAAAGCCAGTTCACCTACTTTCTTCTTGTTCTTTCTATTTATTAATAATTCATCTCTATTAATCCTCCTCACTTGATCCATTGCACCTGTTAGAATATTTTCTTCATAGCCTTTTTCTCTAAACCTTTCCAACAACATATTTGCTTGCTCTTGAAATATCTTATTGTCATCACAGTTCCGCTTGAGTCTAATCAATTGGCTTTTAGGAATGGACCTCAACCAATTTCTATGGTGGCAACTGTGGATTGGGATGTAAGCATTCCTATCCACTTGTTTAAAATATGTTTTTGTGTGAAGATAGTCCCCCTGTCTATAGATGACTAAATCAAGAAAGTCTATAGATTCCATACCGA